AAGAACTAAATACAGGGTGATTCAAAAAGATTCATCTGATTTCAAAATTATTTATTTCTCTAAATCATTACAGATCAATGCAGTAAACTGTAAATGGTTTAAATGAGCATAAAGAAAAAAAAAATGTTAAAAATTGTACAAGGTCTCAGTATGAACCTCCTCCAGCTGTACAGACAACATCAACACCATAGTCAAACTCATCCCATACTGGATTGAGCATGTCGGGTGTCGCTGCACTCACAGCTCTTTCAGTGCGATTTCGGAGATCATCCAGTGTTGTGGAACCAACGACGAACGCTCTGAGCTGTTGGAGATTCACTGTAGACGAAAATCACATTGCACAGTTATGACGGATTCACTCTTATTGAAGTGGAGAACGCAGAACACCATTTCCTCACAGACTGAAGGAGCCATCTTCCGGTGACAGTTAGAAACTCTATGACCCCCTCTTTCACTTGGATTGTGATTGGTTCCTAGGCGCCTCACGGTTGTAAAAATATGGCACATTGTTCTGGTCCATCACTTGATTCCTCTATGGAGCTTTCTCCTTAATAAAAAAGAGCCTAGTGATTTATTAGACAAAGATCTGTCTACTTATAATCAGTGGTTTCTTTAAGGTTCACCCATTGCTGTGGACCCTCTGGAGCCTAAGGAGTGATCCAGAACTGATCATCCAACATCAGTGTCCGACCTCACTGATGCTTTTGTGGCTGAATGCAATCATATCCTCACAGCAACGTTCCAACATCTAGTATAAAGCCTTCTCAGAAGAGTAGAGGCTGTTATCGTGGTAAAGGGAGACAGACTCCCAATTAACACCCTTAATTTCAGAAACCTGGAGGAACAGGGGTCTACAGACTTTTGGGCAATGTAGTGTAGATCTGTCTGAGTGACCATGGCCTGAATTCACTGGAGATCAATTAAAGTTTATCTGTAAAAATGGACAGACAGCAGCCAGCAATTCAAGCAGGCCTATTTAAGAAGAGCTCAACACAGCCTGAGTTTACTTGTTAGCTACATTATTGCCTCACAGCTCAAACTGTGGAAGCAAACTTGTCTTGTCTTGACAAAAAAATGTGTACATTTCATTTTTCACCAATTCATTTTACTCTGGTCACTCTAGCCTGCATGGGTAAATGTTGCTAGTTAACATTTAAAGACACACACACACACACACACACACACACACACAAACACACACACACATTTTCTAAGCCGTTTATCCTTCTGGGTCGCGGGGGGAGCTGTAGCCTATCCCAGCAGTCATTGGTTGGAAGGCAGGATATACCCTGGACAGGTTGCCAGTCCATTGCAGGGCAGACAGACAGACATATACATTCACACATGCCTAGGGGCAATTTAGCACGTCCAATCAGCCTGACTGCATGTCTTTGGACTGTGGGAGGAAACCGGAGGACCCGGAGGAAGAGGAAATCCACAAATTTTTCATTTATGATATAAACTAAATTATTCAGGACGTCTTGATTTGAAATGTTCCATTCTAGAGAAAATTAGCATGTCAGAGTCAACGATGGTGTTGGGAAACTGTCGTCTGAAAAGTTTAATGCCTCTCAAATCTGCCTCAGAAGACTACCTTAAAAAAAGTACTAAACTGTCACGGGGGCAGTTCCCCTCTTGTCACTGGGGGGGTTCCCTCAAGGGTACATCTCAGTACCTTTAGTCAGGGAACATAACTGAACCAGGCTTTTATTTTACTGTTCTGATTAAAACATTCGGTTATGAAAAGGTACAAATACGAACTTTTCACCTGGAAAAACTGATTTAAGGTTCACAATCAGACCTTAAAACCACTGTTGTACCTTTGAGGGAACATTTACACTGTTTGTACCTTGATGAACAAACGTGCGCCTGCACACAGGGCCATAACCCGGATAAAAAATTTTAATGAGGTCCATTTTGCAGAAATGCGACCTACATCTCATAGTGAATAAACTCACTGCTGAATGTGAGCATTTTTTATGACTGTTATGCATCTTTTCTTTTCATTTGTTCCTTCCCCATCCCTCCATTCTTCTATAAACTGCTATTACTCTTCCATAAACTCCAGTTACCCTGTTTAAGTGTATTCAATCAGTCACTTATCTATTTACATATATGTTTATTTTAAGCTGAAAATACATGTTAAAAGCTACATTGAATCAAATGATAGTTTAAAATTGATTTTATTTAATCTCTCTCTCTCTCTCTCTCTCTCTCTTTCTTTTTCTCTCTCTCTATCTTTGCTTGTTTCTTTGCATCTGTGTCCTCACTGATTATGTAAAAGCACACATTAAACATACGTTATAAAACGCTGTCTGTACTAAACCCAGCTAACAGGAAAGACAGCTACTCATACAGCCTGACCTACCTGCTGATTCTTAATAATGTTAGCTACATGATACTATACCATCAATATGCTGGTTAACAGTGAAGTGTCTCATGCTGGCTGTACTATGTTACGTTTAGGTAACAAAATACAGCTTTAATTTCTCACCTAATCACAACAAAGCCTACGAGTTATGTGCTCGCACTGTACGAATACACTCAGTCCTGACTTGATGTGACATGAGTGCTCACATTGCACGTGAAACACAGCCCATACAGACAGCTCTGTGTACAATAAAGCTGTTTCATTCAAAACAACACGCTACGCCTCTGATGTCCTGATCAAAACACTGGCTGAATCTCAGATGGCTTCCTGCTCCCTACATAGTGCACCACATATTAAAACAGTTGCTCCTGCATCCATAAAGTGCATCACATGTCTAATAAATAGCCTTCTGAGATTCGTTCATGTGTGCACAGTTCCATACTGGACAAACAGTGGACTATTTAGGCGTAGAAGCCAGAACTTTGTGCACTACATAGGAAGTAGGGGTCCGTTTAAGATTCAGCCATTGACAATTGACAATCTGCTACAGCAGCTTAGCTAACTTGTGCCACACTGCACTGAAGCAAGAACAGGTGGTCTCCAGGCGGCTCTACGAAGACCTCTCAGTTCAACTCAGTCAAACGGAGCAAAGTTGTCATATACGGTCTCTGGTGCTGCAAGTGTGGACTTTCTTGCCTCTGTGCAGGAGCGGCGGTCGTGACTGTGTGGTTTTGGGTGCGACTTTGAGGAATCAATTCATGAGGCTGCTCACACTGTGAGACAAGAGGACAAAATTTCTGACATGTCAGAAATCCATCCGATCGTCCGACTGCTCAGTCGGTGCTCGGTTGGGCAGTTAATCGGGCATCGTTTCCCCTCACACTGCACGGCAAACGACGGCCGATGAAGCTGAAATTCGGCCCGATCATGAAATTCAGTCGGCTCCAACCAAATCAGGCTTAAAATCGGGTTAAAATGGCACAGTGTACGCCTGGCTTTACAGAGATAAACAGAGCAAGCAGTTAAGTCTGTGGCCGAGCCATAGCTGTTCTGAGGTCAGCTGAGAATCAGTCACTGCTCACTGAGTAAAAACCGTTCAGAAACTTCCGAGGGCCTCGGAGTCCCAGTGCTAGTTACGAGCATGACAAACACTGATTAGGCACTGAAGCAATTGTGGATAGCAGTGGTTGCTAAGCAGTGATTGGAGGGTTGAGAAAATAAGGCGGAGCTTGGCAGATTTTGATCGGCCATAATACAGTGACTGCGCTCACAGAAAATCAAATTTCATTATCATAAAAATGACATATAATAAATATTTTGTCCCCAGTTGGGTGGGTCTGTGACACTGTGGCTGTGACCCTGAGTAGACTTAATGTCATAAACAGAGGAAAGCGAAAAAAAAAGAGAAAACATTTTTTTTCCTAAAACTACCAAACTACCATAGTTAGTTACGGCCATGGCTGCACAGTACCTTTATTTCTAACAGTGTACACAAAATGGTCATTGCCATTGTTTTATGATAGTTGTGAAATAAAGTTTTAGGAAATCATTTATGTTTTTAGACTTATCATGGTGGAGGGGTACATGCAGGGTGTCATAAGGCAAAATAGTCCCTACAGAAAACAATTTTTTTTAGATTTACCACTACTTTACCATCATCAACATTACTTTTTTTTCAGAAAAATTCAGAAATTTAGCAATTTCAGTTACATTCTCTTTTAAAGTGTCCAAAATGCAAGAACTGCATTATGAACTATAACACATATTTACTAATAAAACAGCAGCATCGTCTTTCAAAGTTCACCTCAGATTACACAACCAGCTTAAACAGTAGATGAAGTTTATCCAGTGACTGTTGAGTGATCTCCAAACTTGTCTGACCCCGTGTGGCACCCCCTAAAGGTGGAAGTGGAACTGCAGCTTGGCCTGGTGGTAAAGGCTGTGAGTGAGGAGTGGATATGAGATCATCTCCCTTTCTCACATACTTGTACAGGTCTACAACCTGATGCAGGCATGTTTTCTAATACTTTGTTGCCTGGCAACATGACAACACTAATCTAGCTGCACGGAAGAGGGTGTGACTGACAGGAGATGGACTTTTCAAACACACGCATGTTGAAATTCCGTGTGTGTGTGTGTTGTGTTTCAGTGTGATGGGACATGCATTCAAAGCCTTTTTACAGTATTGCATGTGTTAAACATGCATGAACTTACAAACTGCAGTCATCAGGTCAGTTTCTTCACTCGTAGCTCCAGAAGGCCGCACACGTGGAGAGTTTTGTGCTTTTCTTGCTCTTTTAAGTTAAATCGGGTCAGGAGAACACTTTGGTGGACTTACAATGAAGAATACTCACTGCATTCAGTACCCAGAGACACACAGAAAAGAATCTCAAACTTAAAGGAACAATATATAATGTGTTTATTGTGCTTAATCATAAAATGACCAAGATATGTCATCAGAGATTAAGGAAACATGCTAAGTTGAAATACTGGCTTCTCCGACAGCAATGCCACAGCCATTGTTGCCAGAGAACAGTATGTTCTCCGTTCCCAAGCGGAAAGTCTGTTTGTGTTTTGGCCTGTGATCCCACTCGCTGCTCATTTCCAAGTACCATTTCGACATCGCGGGTTCCCAGATACTAAACAAACTGGCCGGCGAACACAGAGTGCTGCAGTCATGTAAGCAAGCGAACGAGCTGGATCAACAGAGATAACGTTACATTCTACCCAACCTAAAAAGCCTCGGCATCCTTCTGAAAAGCTCCATGACCAGAGACGTGGTAAACCACGAGTAAATTTTGCCAATACATTTGAACAATGGAGGCAGCTTAGAGCCCAGAAGCACTTTAAGATGGATGCCGAGTTGGCTAATTTCCTCCTGGACAGGTAAGCATTGAGCTTCAGCTAAGGTTGGCTAACCTTAACTAATTTATAATGGCGACTGGTAGGAATGGGCATTTCAAGTAATTTGAACATTCGAGTATTCGCAGTCATACTCTGTGGTCAGTCTGCAGCTGGGTTATCAAGGCAGCGAGTATTTGGGACACAGACAGGGAAGTCATCCCGACTAGTGCTGGCTAATGCCATCATGCTAACACACGCTAATTAATTTCATGGCAAACAGACCAACATAAACAATCCAAAATGACTTGGGATGAAATCTTGTTAACTTACATTGAAAAGCACTTTCCCTCTCCTGTAAAGTGTTGGAGATGCGAGGATGTTGTTCCAACAGTGACAATATGTAAATTTGTAAAAGACCTCTGTTCTGATTGGCTGTATTGTGTTATGCTTCATTCTAAAAGCACTTAGTGCTGAAACACTAGTTATAACATCATTGTGAATGGGGGAAGCTAAAAGCTTTAGCCGAAATAGATGGATATATGTAAATGCATTGCTTTTGTAATATCACAAAAACAACAAATTCAATATAAAGTTTGTTGCATCTTAATTTCTAAATGTTGACTGGGGAGGGTATCAAACTATTAAATTAAAAAAATATTATTATATGATACTATAACAAATGATTGCTAAAACCATTGGGTTATATGGGCCCTTTAATGCTGTCTCTGCTCCAATGTACCAGTTCAGCTTCAATTAAACTGTGCAGATCTGCAGCCCCTCAGGCAAAGGACCCTAAGGCAGATGGTTCTCAGTAATGAATATAAATTTGCCTTTTTGTCTTCAGGCTACAATATATTCCTACTTTTAAAAGTGCAGCTGCCTGGAGCTTAATATCTTTTCATCCTCACCCCACCTCATCATGTTATTTTAAAAAAGGGAACTATTTATTTATCTGAACTAAATTGTTCTTAAAATAAGTACAATCCGAATTCCAAAAAAGTTGGGAAGCTGTGCAAAATGTAAATTGTAATGTAAAATGTAAAAATGCAAATCATTTAAACACTATGTTTCATTAAAAATAGTACAAAAACAATATATCAAATGTTGAAACAGAAATTTTATTGTTTATTGAAAAGTACTTGCCTATTTTGAATTTGACGCCAACAACATGTTCCAAAAAAGTTGTCTTTCAGAAGTAAAGATGGTGAGGAGTTCACCATCAATCAAATAGTGCAACAATTCGAAAATAATGTTTAAAACATCAAAGAGCTTTTCATCATCAACGGTACATAATAACATTAAAAGATTCAGAGAATCTGGAGAAAACTCTGTATGCAAGGTCAAAGACCAGTATTTGCTGGCCGTGATCTTTGAGCCCTCAGATGGCACTGCATTAAAAACAGACATGAAATCACTGCATGGGCTCAGAAACAGTTCTGGAAACCACTATCTGTGAACACAGTTCATCACTGCATCCACAAATTCAAGTTAAAACTGTAAAACGCAAAGAAGAAACTGTATATAAACAGGATCCAGAAATGCTGCCACCTTCTCTGGGCTTAAGCTCATTTGAGATGGACTAAAGTGAAGTGGAAAAGTGTCCTGTGGTCTGACAAATCAACATTTGAAATTCTTTTTGAAAATCATGGACACTGTGTCCTCCGTGCTAAAGACCACTCAGCTTGTTATCAGTGCACAGTTCAAAGCCAGTATTCATGATGGTATAGGGGGTGCATTAGTGCACATGGCATGGGTGACGTGCTCATCTGTGAAGACACCATTAATGCTGAACGATATATACAGGTTTTGGCAACATATGCTGCCATCCATAGCACGTCTCTTTCCAGAAAGGCCTTGCTTATTTCAGCAAAACAATGTCAAACCACATTCTTCATGTATTACAACAGCATTGCTCCGTATTAAAAGAGTCCAGGTGCTAAACTGACCTGCCTGCAGTCCAGACCTGTCACCACTGAAAATGATTTGAAAGGTTATGAAATGAAAAATACAACATAGGAGACCCTGAACTGTTGAGCAGCTAAAGTCCTGTATCAAACAAGAGCAAGAAAACATTTGACCTTCAAAACTACAGCAGTGTCTCCTCAGTTCCCAAACGCTTACAGAGTGTTGCTAAAAGAAGAGGTGATGAAACACAGTGGTAAACATGACCCTGTCCCAACTTTTTTGATACCTGTTGTTGGCATCAAATTCAAAATGTGCATATATTTTTCAAAAAACAATAAAATTTCTCAGTTTAAACATTTGATATGTCATCTTTGTTGTATTTTCCTTTAAAAATATGATTTATATGATTTGTATATCATTGCATCCTATTTTTGTTTACATTCTGCACAGCATCTCAACTTTTTTGGAAATGGGGTTGTAAATAATAAACAAAAGAAATACCAATTATTATTATTATTATTATTATTATTATTATTATTATTATTGTTGTTGTTGTTGTTGTTAATAATAATAATTATAATAACATAGCTTATATTACTTATAGCAAGAGTACACACAAATATATATATATATATATATATATATATATATATATATATATATATATATATATATAATTTTGACAGATATCACTGTTAAACAAAAGTTATTAAAAATTTAATTGAAATGCAAAAGCTTGTACATTGAATCTTGAGGTGAAATCAGTTTCAGTGAGCAGCTAACTATACTTTGTCTCCCTCTTCTGGACATAACGTGGCTGTGCTAATGTTCAATGTTGTCACTTTAGTTTTGACATATAAAAGCAACAGAGCGAGTGAGACACACTACGTTATTAACATAAGCTAGCATTTGATAAACGTGTTCAATCAGCAATATTTTTAACTAACAGTCGGCCTAAAGGAGGTCTGCTTTTTATCCAGTTACATATATACAATGATTTTTAATTATTGATCTATTTTAACTATGTTTACTTGTTGATTTTGCCTTTTAAATTACTAACCAGCTATTGACTTATATAATCGTATAATTTGCATTCAGTTCACTGTATACACAGACAAGCCACTTCATTAAGTACACCACTTTGTTTCTACACTCTTTGTCCATTTTCTCAGCTCCACTTACAACCCTGTTTCCAAAAACTTGGGACACTGTGCCAAATGTAAAAAGCTTTGCTTGGCTCCAATGTCATAATCCCCATCTAGACTGGCTCACTTATTCTGCCCTTTCATGAAGCTCCCACTGCCAGACCTCCTGCTTGTGGGTTCCCAAGCCTTGTGCGACACATCCCCATCTTCTGGTCAGGATAGCCCTGACCTCTCTCGGGTGCCCCCAGAGTATTGGGACTTCCAAGAGGTCTTCAGCAAGAAAAAGGTCCAGCTCCTGCCCCTCCGTCAGCCTTACAACATTGCCATAGCCCTCCTCCCTGGCACTAGCCCCCCACCACCACCACCGGGGCTGACTGTTCTCCCTGTCTGGCCCCGAGTGTAAAGCCATGGATGAATACATTCAAGAGACCCATGCCTTTGGGTCTGTCCGACCCACTACTTCCTTGGCAGGAGTTGGGTTTTCTTTTTAGAAAAGAAAGATGGGGTTTCTGGCCCTTTATCAACTACCAGGGCCTATATAAGGTCATATCCAAGAACCGCTACCCTCTACCCCTCATGACCTCCACCTTTGAGGCACTGCTGCAGGCTCCCATTTTCATGAAACTGGACTGTGCAGCATGTATAACCTTATTTGGGTTAGAGAAGGTGATAATGGGAAAAAAAGCCTTGTGAATACTTTGTCATGCCCTTCGGATTTACAAATGCTCTGGCCGTCTTCCAATGGTACATCAAAGAGGTCCACGACTGTGGGACGGCTGTGACTTTCTTCCACTCAGATGGCACTGCGCTAAAAACTGGCATGTTTTTCATTGATTTCACCTCAGGAAAATTTGAAAAACCGGTCAATAAACACTGTTTGTCGCTGCATCCACAAATGCAAATTATAACTGTACTATGCACAGCAGAAGCCATAGGTGTCCAGAAGTCACTTCTCTGGGTTTGAGCTCATCTGAAATGAACCGATGCACAGTGGGAATGTATTGTGGTCTGACGAGTCAGCCTTTCAGACTGATTATGGAAATAATGGATGTCGTGTTTGGGACAAAGAAGAACAGAACCATTCAGGTTGTTACCAGTGCAAAGTTCACACTGCAGTATTAGTACTCATGGCATACATAACTTGCATATCTATAAAAGCACCATAAACTTTGAATGAGGCATACGCATTTTAGAGCAACGTATGGCTTCTAGACGACATCTTTTTCAGATCAAATGTGACAACGCTAAGCCATATTCTGCATGTGTTACAACAGCATGGCTGCACAATCAGGGAAAGCAGAAGTTAGACTGGCCTGCCTACAGTCCAGATCTGGCTTTCAAGACTGAATTAATTGGTGTCTTCAGTCTTTGTGTTGTTAAAAAGAGGTGATGTCACACAGTGATAAACATCCTCCTTTCCCAGCTTTTTTTGTGTTACTTGTAACAAAATTACTACTTACTAAATTATTACTTACTAAATAAATAAAGTTCACAAGGTAAAACATCACATATATTTTTTTGTTTACTATTAAATGCTGGTCAAACTGAATCTTCCAATCCCTGCTTTCATTTTTTCTATTTTTCATATCATCCCAACTTTTTTTGCAACTGAAGTTAAATAAACAAATGTGTTATTTTCTGTATACATTCAATTACTGTAAAATACAACACTTCCAGTTAAATGTGCAAATTCAGTGTATTTCTTAAAATAAAATTCTGAGTTGTGCCAAAATATTGAAATCAAATGGTGATGAAATTTTTGATTTCCTGATGCACTGAATCACTGTGTTCTCATATGACATTCAGGCAACATGAAGAGGAGTGTTTTGCTTGTACCTGCCCTTTAAGTGAGCTGATCTCATTCTTCTCAGAATGGTGCAGAAAATACAGAATTGTGTAAGAACTGTCACAGCCCTGAAAAGGTGAGCAGTTGAGAGGAAAGCACTGAAGGTGAACGTGCAGGAAGTCTGGATTGCTAGGAGGTCTTTTTTTTCCTCTCTAAAAAGGGAGACCTTTAAGAAATGTTTGGCGTTATGTTTATTGCACATGCAAAAGACTGGTGATACAAAACAATCCACGGATAGGAATAATACGGTGATGAGCTTCTCCCCAAATAAAGACAGTTATAGAAATGACAGACTGTGCTGACGTGGTTTCAGGTACATGTTGGCATAATTTCATGTAATTATATGCTTCAGACAATAGATTAGAGATGAAAATGTAAGATACGGACACACATGTCAGGAGGATATCTTGCCCGGACTGGTCCTGAAATAAACCATTTCTGGCCGATCTTTGGCACAAAATATGGGAACTAGTACCGGATCGGATAGACGGGTAGACAAGCCAAGGGAAACGTCTGCAATCAGCGGATCTCACGCAACCTGTATCAAACCAAGTATCAGAACATTATCAGTTGATAAACAGAGTCCATTCAGTCGCCATTGGGTCTGCTGACCTCTCTCAGTCAAATCAGTTGAACTGTCCCAAAACGGCATCTTCCTCCTGCAAGTCTGTACTTCTGTGAATGTGCAAAGGGGCAAGAGACCCTAATGGCACCAGATTTAAAAGTATGCATTTGGGACACTCATACAACACGCAGGCTGTATCCAGCTAAATCACGTTATCAACTGCAGTAGTTTTTCAAATGAGCTAATTTATCTATAGTGGCTCAGTGGCGAAAGTAATAAACGAATGCATTTTAAATTGCACTCCACTCACATGCTGTTCAAACCAACTCATCCACTCTGAAGGAATTTCGAGTAAGATGCCACCACATTCACGGTGGGTGTTCCCTTTGGAAAGCAAAACGGGAATTGGGATACCCTAAGGCCTCACAGGCACACACACAACCACGCCCCACAACAGTGCCAAGTGGGGCATGGCTAGCAAGCAGCAGACCCAGCTCTAACTAATAAGCGACATAAGCGGCTGCTTACAATTTTTAGGTTACTTCTGTAAGTTAACATTAAGTTGTCTAATAAGATGCTGGAATAAGGGGAAAAAATGACTTAAAAAGAGAAGATGAGGGGAAAGCTAAAAGATAAAGGTATGTTTAGGTTTTATTTTGAGATGTTAACGTTATGCTGGTTTTTTTTTGGCTTTTGGTCAGAAAATAAGAAGTAGTCACTCTGGACAGAGAATTTTGAGACGCCATTAGAGCTCATTAGCATGCAATCATCTGCAACACACAATTAGCTAGAAAGCTAACTGATTTGCTAATGTGCAAAAAACGTTATGATTCCTAACATTGGAGCATTTATTTAAGACAATGTTTATAAGATTTATATGTTTAAAGCTTTGCACTATATTAAGACTATTTACACACAATAATTCAGCAAATCTTTTTCCATATTAAACAAACAAAAGTAGACTAGAAATAAACATGACAGTGTTCAGTCAGCTTTTTAGACAGCTAAAATATGAATAAGACATTTATGCTCAAATAAGTGATCGTTCAAAAAGATAGCAGCACACTAACGCACCACCACCACATCAGTGTTACTGCAGTGCTGAGAATGATCCACCACCCAAATAGTACCTGCTCTGTGAGGGTCCATGGGGGTCCTGACCACTGACGAACAGGGTAAAAGGGGGCTAACAAAGTATCAGAGAAACAGATGGACTACAGTCTGTAACTGTAGAACTACAAAGTGCACCTATATAGTAAGTGGAGCTGATAAAATGGACAATGAGCGTAGAAACAAGGAGGTGGTCATAATGTTATGTGTATTTTACAACTAAATACAGATTAAACTGCAAGTAAATTAATGAGTGGTGTAGTGAGCAGTTATTTTTCCAAGAAGTAATAAGTAACATTAAGTAACCATAAACAATTACAGTTTGAGTGAAAGTAATAACTTGTAATATATTGTTTTTTTGAGTAACTACCCCTCATTTAGCTACCTATACTGCCATTAACACAAGCATTATGTACAGTCTGCACTGTAAACCCTGATAAGTTTGGTTTACACAAGCCATTTGTGGTAACTCTGCTTAAAATGAATTAAGTTTTGAAACTTATTTTTTAGGTTGTTTTAAAAAATGCATGGAGTTGAATACTCTCGCTTTGATGCCGTGATCTGAATCTGAACACAGAGTAGAAAATCAAAAAATGAGCCTCGTCTTTACAGTTCACAGCTTATTATACATAAACATGCATAGCACTGAATACATGTTGCAGTGCTATTTTTTTCATTCTTGTCTTGATGTATTTGTGTTTGTCTCGGTTTGTGTCCCCGTGTCCTGTATGAGAGCTTTGTGAAACAGCCTTTCTGCATAAAACCCTGAAACATGACCAGCCTGCGTGTTTCTCTCATACTTTTATTTTACAAATATGCCAAAGATCACTTACAGAGCACAATAATTACCATCATTATGCAACAACAGCTTGTTTTTCTTGTCCAAAGTTAGACCGAAAGTTAATATCTCTTCCTTAATCATATGCAAAAAACAGACATGACATGATTATAACACATAAAACACATAAAACATATGCTGAGGCGTGTATTAAGTCTGCTAGTCAGTAATACCAGCACATGGATCACATTTTGGGATAGAGCTTAAATATTGCAAAATTACTTCAGTGTTTTTCATTTTACAGATTCTAACCGCCATATAAAGAAAATCAAAGAAAAATAATAGCAAGATCAAAGTCAATATCAATCAAAAGTCAATATATATGATAAAAGCACAAAAATATGATGAATATTTTTACGAGAAAAGGCACAGTGTGTTTTACTCCTGTATCACTACTGTTTTGCAGTATTCCATGATGAATAATTTGTTCAGAATAGACTTGTTTAGTGAGGAAAAGTTTTTACCCTGTTCTTCAGTGGTCAGGACCCCCATGGACCCTCACAGAGCAGGTACTATTTGGGTATAGTGTATGTTGCGCTGGTCTGAGTGGATCAGACACAGCAGTGCTGCTGGAGTTTTTAAACACCTCAGTGTCACTGCTGGACTGAGAATAGTCCACCAACCAAAAATATCCAGCCAACAGCTTCCTGTGGGCAGCGTCCTGTGACCATTGATGAAGGACTAGAGGACTGGTGTATATATATGATGAAATAAGCTAAAGATACCTTTCTTTATATTTCATAGCCGCGAGACCTGAGATACAACAACAAATAGTTATGATCCATTTGAGGCAATACATCTCTAGCATTGACATGGGGCCAGTTGAGTTTTGAGCCTTAGTCTTGGACTAAACTGCAATGCCAATGGTATTTTACCATTATGTTCCCATTTAGACTAGAGTGAGGCTTTTATTAATTTATGATCGAAAATGTTTTGGCCTAAAACATACTTATTTTCAGTCCATTCATAGAGGAGGCAAAATACACACAGGCAAAATAGTCCCCAAAAAGAACCTCTATCTATGAATTGCCCTCTGTTGTATTACATAACCTCTATTATCTGTCATAATTTATTACGATTATCAATATTACATATAAAACTCACACATGCAGCTTCACTGGTCATTTTGTAAAGTAAATAAAATGTGCAATTTCTGGTTCCTATCACCTCCGTTATAAAGAATTTCGGTAAGTTTTACCACAATGAACCATTTAACAGCAAACATCACATTAAACTGGATTAAATTCTCTCCACAGTAACAGAAGCGACTCTCGTCAGCTTCCCTGAACTACGCGGCCTACGGCTCACTGCAGTTTCTCCGAGCTGGACATCTCGAAGCCCGGCCGCAGGGTGGTGCGCAACATGCAGCGCTTGTGCTTCATGGTGAGGCCGTACTCGGGGGTCATGTCTGGCATTTCACCTGGCAGGCTGCTGAACTTTAACCTCTGGATGAGGATGGCGAGGAAGAGAAAGACTTCGGAGCGGCCGATGGCTTCGCCGATGCAGCGCCGTTTACCCAGGCCGAACACCATGACCTTCTCAGCTTCGGCCTTGTTGAGCTCGGAGCCGTCGGCACTCAGGAAGCGGTTTGGGTTGAACAAGGAGGGCTCCTTCCACTCCTCTCTGCAGGAAATATTGAATTGAAGTCATTAATCAAACATCTAAACTACAATGATATACAGTGCTTTATTATCTATAATACTGGGCCATCCAGTTTGTTCATACATGAAGCGTAAAGGAAGTATTTTTCAACCTCATCTCTATCTACAGTATCTGTAGCATATGGTTGATTACCATGGGCAATAAATTTCCCTCTACTTAAAAAAGGAATAGAAAACCTGTGGACTCGAAACCTGTAATAGAAGTCAATTTACGGAACCAAAGCTTCTAACTCTGGGTTCAGGTACGCTACAGAGCCCCTAGAGGAACTTGAAGTGCATTGCACTGGAAAAATATCACCTGGCATCTAACCATGCCATTCATAGCCAAGTCCACTGACTGCCAGTCACCACTAGCCTAGTTTCAGTCTGCCAGCATCACACTGACCCCCCCATTTAGGACTGATAAAGTAATGAGCGACTTACGGGTTGTGGTTTATTTGCCACTGGTTAATGAACACACATGTGTCTTTAGGAATGAAGTATCCGTTCAGCGATGTGTCTTTCGTGGTGCTGTAAACGAAAGCATAAGGACTAAATCTCCACTACAGAGTGTGAAGCATCAACAAACACCTATACTGTACATTTGTTTTTGGCCAAATTTGGCAAATAAATGCATAAATATGTGACGCACCAGTGTGGGATGGTGAAAGGGAGGAAGGAGGAGTGACGGAAGGTCTCCAGAATGAAAGACTCGAGGTGCGGCAGGCTGGTTTTGTCCGACAGACGAGGTGTGCGATCTGTTCCGACCTTCTCCTCTGTAGAGAGAAGAGCACTTCAGTCATTAATCTGTATCTTCAGTCAGTCATTCGTAACTTGTAATAAATGATTATAGACTTTATTTTTGAAGCAACAATAAAAATGTAACTTCTTTACAAACAAAGACTAAATAAAACAGAAGAGAACAGAAAATAAAGGAAAAAAAAACAAAGAACATGCAGGGAAATATATGAACTAGAAAAGTGCATTTCCTGAAAAATATGTAGAGGGATTGTGCAGCTCAGGCAGTTTCCAAGTGGTTGTTAGGGTGATCGGTTACTGCGGTATTTTAGGTAGTTTCCAAGGTGCTGATAAATGGTTGCAATGGTATCTGAGGTGGTTGCTAGAGTGTTGCTAGGATGTTGCTAAGTGGATGCTATAGTATCCCAGGTGGTTGCTAGGGTGTTGCCAGGTGGTTGCCCCCATGGTTCCCCACATGACATAAACATTTTAACCTTTTTTTTCCAGTCTGTTGATTCACTGATTCACTGATTCATTCATTCTTCCGCCCACTCACTGGCAGAACTGCTGGATAAATCTATAGATCTTTCTGTGCTATATTTCAGAGAGGAATATGAACTGTGCTTACTCAGCTCTTGGTAGAGCCTCTCCTGAATCTCCGGATAAGCCACCAGATACACAACAGACCAAGACAGAGCAGTGCTGACGGTGTCGAAGCCTGTAAAGATATGAGAGTAAAGGTGTGTGAGTGAAGGGCTGTTGAGGCATGAATGATCATATACAGTATGCATGATGCATACAATCTTAATATGTTTTTTATGATGAATGGACTGATCGAAAAGGTCAAAATACAATACAAATGTTTCATCTTTTGTACAAGCATGAATCAATATAAATAGTCCAAAATTACAGTAGGGTCATTCTACAGAAACGTCCACTTCTCTGTCTCTCCATAGGTGTCACTGGTGTTACCAATCCTCATTGGTGTTACATATAAGAAAGGTAACACCAGAGACATTTTTAATGAAAAATGAATTTTACAAAATGGCTGCTACAGAGCATCAAACTACATGTTGCCAATAATGAAATATCCACTAAAATATGTAATTTAATCCATTTGTGTTCTATTGTTTCACCATTACCTCATAATAAAGTAGGTAATACCAGTAACGTCAACTAAAAGCTTCATATGAAATCATGAGCTAAATGAGAAAATTTCTTATAACTGAAGACACAGTGGACTCGCCATGTGCTTTTCTTCATAGATCCCCAGAAAATAAGTCAAAGGAAGTCAAGTGATGTCATCAGTGTGACTTTTATTTCAAAATAAGAGATTTTTGTTATGCAGTAACACCAATGACATAACTTTCATTATATATTTTATAATATTTTTTGCCATTTGTTTTCTTTATGTCATTTAATGTATATATTCCATAGTCATGTATAAATTATTATAGTTAAAATTGCAGAAATATGTGCTTTTTCCTTCAAAATATGGCACTTACCCTTTACACATGACTGTAGGGACAAGCACTTCTATGGTGCTTGGAATTCTAGATAATTAATTTAAAACCAATATTGCTAAATTGAGGCTCAAGAAGGTGTACTTGTTAAAATAACCTATTGTTTTATTTTAAAATGTAAATAAATTGTAACCCTAACATGTTTTTTAAGTGTAATATGACCCAGTACAATCCTGCTATGACGAATGGACCAATAGAAAAGCTCTAAAATAGGACCAATATAAATGTTCCAAAATGACTAAAAAATTCTCACTATGATGAAAAGACCAATAGAAATGGTCTAAAATTACAGTATAATCTCAAACATTGTACTTTTAAAGTTTCAATTTCTGAGATTTTGTTATGACAGCAATGAGATACTTAACAACAGACATGTAGGCAAGACAAGCCTGAGTGATCGCGTCCTTACTCACCAGCCCCAAAGAGGTCATTCACTATGGACACAATCTTCTCATCAGACACCTGCACGTTAGAGTTCTCATCCAACTTCCTGTCTTCACAGTGATTGATGAGGGAGTCCGTGATGTCACGAATGTTGTTCTGAAAGACACGGAACATCCACTTTTACAGAGGGACATTCAATGCCGAAGATTAGTGGCCCTGGAGATTCACCACTCTGAAGATAACACACCTGACCATAATGTTCTGATGCATTCGAGGGCCTTCATTAATTGGTTCAGGGGTGGTAGGGTGGAAATCAGGGCCATCATAAGGAGGCCTATAGACAGGAGTCCTGGAGCATGGCAAGGACTAATATTCTCATATATTTTAGTTTTAGGGATGCATGATTGGAATCAGCCAGGATCGTAATCAAATATTCCCTCCTAACAAACAACGGTAAATTGGCCAATTTATGTGTAATTTTAATCCGCACAAATTTTAATCAAGCAAATTCAATGTAGCATAGTTACTTTACAAGACTTTTTCAGGGTCTCACACCCTGGTCCTGGAGAGCTACCAGTAACCACAATTTGCTACACCTGCTCCAGTTAAGCTACCTCTTCCCAAGTCCCTGATTGGCTGGATCAGATGTATTAGAGTTCAGTAAAGGGATACTGGATACAGGTTGGAACTAAACTCTGCAGGAAGGTAGCTCTCCAGGACCAAGGTTGGGGACCACCAACCTAAACTCTGCATGGACAGGAGATCTCAAGGACAGGAGCTGGGCACCACTACTTTAGAGAGGGACTGACCTTATCGTAGGTATCGTAGTGCTGTCTGACGATCCTCTGCACAAATGCATTGAAGCGCCTGTTGATGTCCACAAACTTGTTCATGGTCTTGCTGGGCAGGAAGCGGAGGAAGGGGATGAAGTCAGCCGGGTTACCACTGCCTGCAACCTGGCTGAACTCGTCGCTCATGTTGACCAGGCTCAGCAGCTCCTGGTGGTCGTGGCTGTAGCGATGGCCAAAGCACATGCCGCAGATGATGTTGACCACAGATACCACGATTTGGCGGAAGGGGTCAAAGCCACCATTAGCCTCCGTCACCTTGCACAGCCTCTCCACCAGGTACAGCCCCTCTTTGCTGACGTGCTCCTCAAGGGCGCAGGCATACTCTGGGCTTTGGCCAGCCACAGTGGCGAAAGTGCGCAGGGCGTTGAGGGCCAGCTTACGGCGAATGCGCCACACTCCGGCTTGGTCTGTGCTGAAGGCCAGGCTTTTACCATCATTGACGATTCGTAAACTGTAATAATAAGAATAAAAATTATAATGATTTTTTATATATATAGCGCCTTTCATGAGCCTTATCAGGCTGTGGTCATTTTACTTGTTCCATTATGCTCATCATATATGAACTGCTATGTCTCACTGCCAGGTGAAATGTTGACAACAATGCATGTTGTGGTTATGTAGTCATTAGAGTTGTTTGACGTAAAATGTACCATTCTAAGACCCATTAGAATCAATACACAAATACAATGAATTGTTATCTTTTAACGTAAAAACTGATGACGCTTGTTTTTGTTTACTTGTACAGGTCGGGTCGTCCAGCGAACTCCTCTCCCTGCTTGATGAGCGCCTGCCGCACCGCCTCGCTGCCGCTCAGCACCAGCACGGGGCGCGTGCCGATCCTGATCTGGAAAACTGGGCCGTAGCGCTTGCTCATGGCGCTCAGGCTGAGGTGAGGGTTCCGGCCCAGCTCCAGCACGTTCCCGATAATGGGGAGGGACTGGGGGCCTGGGAGCGGCTGAAGACCCTCAGGGATCCTGGTCCGGGTCAGACGCAGGAGGAGGTACACCGCGCAGACTATCACCATGGCGACCAGGCTCTCCGACACGGAGATTGAGCCTAAGAATGGTAGAACTGCCACCGGCATGTTTTTTTCTGTTTTCTGCAGCCTCTTTAGTGAGAAACTGGGAAGAAAAGAAGAAACGTGAAGACCTGCAGTGCTGAATGATCATCTGCAGAGTTCAGCATCGAGCAAACACCTACAGTATCGAATGAGCTACCACTCAAAAACATAAATGGTTGAATCAAGTTAATTACACTATATTGCAAAAAGTATTCGCTCGTCTGTCTTCACACGCATATGAACTTGAGTGACATCCCATTCTTAATCCATAGGGTTTAATATGATGTTGGCCCACCCTTTGCAGCTATAACAGCTTCCACTCTTCTGGGAAGGCTTTCCACAAGGTTTAGGAGTGTTTATGGGAATTTTTGACCATTCTTCCAGAAGTGCATTTGTGAGGTCAGACACTGATGTTGGACGAGAAGGCCTGGCTCACAGTCTCCGCTCTAATTCATCCCAAAGGTGTTCTATCGGGTTGAGGTCAGGACTCTGTGCAGGCCATCCCCAAACTGTTCTCACAAATTTTGGAGCATGAAATTGTCCAAAATCTCTTGGTCAGCTGAAGCATTAAGAGTTGCTTTCACTGGAACTAAGGGGCCGAGCCCAACTCCTGAAAAACACCCCCGCACCATAATCCCCCCTCCACCAAACTTTACACTTGGCACAATGCAGTCAGACAAGTACCGTTCTCCTGGCAACCGCCAATCCCAGACTCGTCCATCGGATTTCCAGATGGAGAAGCGTGATTGATCACTCCAGAGAACACGTCTCCACTGCTCTAGAGTCCAGTGGCGGCGCTTTACACCACTGCATTCGACGCTTTGCACTGCGCTTGGTGATGTAAGGCTTGGATGCAGCTGTTCGGCCATGGAAATCCATTCCATGAAGCTCTCTACGCTGTTCTTGAGCTGATCTGAAGGCCACATGAAGTTTGGAGGTCTGTAGCGAGTGACTCTGCAGAAAGTTGGCAACCCCTATGCACCTCAGCATCCGCTGACCCTGCTCTGACATATTACGTGGCCGACCACTTCGTGGCTGAGTTGCTGTTGTTCCCAATCGCTTCCACTTTGTTATAACACCACTGACAGTTGACTGTGGAATATTTAGTAGCGAGGAAATTTCACGACTGGACTTGTTGCACAGGTGTCATCCTATCACGGTACCACGCTGGAATTCACTGAGCTCCTGAGAGCGACCCATTCTTTCACTAATGTCTGTAGAAGCAGTCTGCAGGCCTAGCTGCTTGGTTTTATACACCTGAGGCCATGGAAGTGATTGGAACACCTGAATTCAATGATTTGGATGGGTGAGTGAATACTTTTGGCAATATAGTGTATTTGCACATTTCCATTCAGTTCCATTAAGTCCCTAAAGCACTGAACAAACTAAAGATGTCACAATACCATTTTTCTTTTCCCATACTGATATTGAGGAAGTGCTGGTTGAAAACAGTGACCATGAACAATTCAGAACCATGAGTTCTATATAGGACCACTTCCTGCTTAAATGGTTCTTTGCATGGTGAACTGGTACTTCAGAATGATGGAGAATTTGTTGTACTTGAATGAAATGAATGAAAGCCTAGAGAGTTACATTAAAGGGGAATTCCACCAAATTTTTTAGATTTCTGCATAATTATTGTAATAAATTGCTAAGATGTAAACAAAGTCAGTCAGAGAGGTTTGATATGAAACGCTCTAATCAAGAAAAACTTTCCAAATCAGAATTATTCATAGTGGTGGTGATAGGAACCAGACATCTGAAGAGTTGAATACATCTGAATGCTCCTTTACAGGCAATCATTAAAGAAAATGTTAAAAATTACATTAAATCAAGTCTCAGAGATTGTTTTAGGATGTTTTAGGCCAAAATGTAATTTTTCAGTACATTCATGGCAAAGAGGTACACAATTGGTGTTGTAAGGCTAAGTAGCCCCCAAAGGAAACCTGTTTTTAGACTTATCACTATTTTACCATGTAGGTTCCATGTAGGTTCACTGTTGGTTTTGGATAGTAGATAAAATGTCTATATTTGTGTTGTAGTCATGGTGACCCCTGGTTCCTATCACCACCACTGTAAAGAAATCAGAGTTATTAAGTTTTTCTGCAATAAACCATTTCCCATCAAACCACTCTGGATGACTCTGTTTAGGTCTAAACTACTGAATTATACATCAATTTTGAAAAATCTGTGGAATTCTCCTTTAACATCTGCTGCGTGATCAGATACCTATAATATCGCATGCACACCCACTAAAAAGCATATAAATCACTATGGAATCAGTGCAGCTGCCTTTATAACTGCAGCGGAATAGGACACAATTACCGCTGTGTGCAAAAGTTTGTGCGCCCATGGTCAAATGACATGTTGTGTTGATTTTCTGAGTGAAAATAAGTGAACACATCCTCTACTGAAAACAGACTCCTGCATGTTTTAACGCACGATTGCTGTTTAATTTACTGTGCCATGCATCTCCATTCAGTCAAAAAGTGCAGAGTCAGCATTTTGTGACATCAGCATAAAATGAAATTAATGTTGAGTTACACTCAAAAAACTATTCTATCTGGTAATAAAAGGGTTCTTTGGCCTGTAACAATAGTGGAACCCTTTTTGGTGCACATTCTCCATCAATCTGAAGAATGCTTTTATGGCACAAAGAACCGTTTTCTTCACTCTTAAACTCTTGAATCTTTTTTAAAGGTGCATTTTTATTACTGCTTGGATCATTTCTGAGTGCCTATGTTACACCACTGACCAAACACCTAAAGAGTTGAATGAGCAATTATAGTCAGGAAAAGGGTCAATTTTAGTTAATGTAGATGTACCCCTCAGTGGTCCAGCATGCACCTTAAATGCGATTTAAAGGCAAACTACATTCACTTTCCAAGGGGAAAAACCCATATTTGTACCTTTTCCTAACTTTTTTAGATAGAAAAGGAAAACAAAAAGCCTGGAGTCGGCCTGCAGGGAGTCAAATGCAACTGCGCTTATAACCACAATGGAACAGGATACAATTACAGTCATGTGCAAAAGTTTGGGTGCTCCAGTTCAAATAATACATCCCTTATAGGGAGCACACTCCTGCACATTTTAATGCACAGTTACTGCTTATTTGCTGAATTTAACAAAAATAAAACATGAAATCTGGCCTGTTTTATTCCTTCCAATATGCTAAACTCAGTTGTGCTCTAAGATTTGCAAACAAAATATTCATAATTATATTTAATTATATTCACTTATGCCCCCTGTAGAGGACACGTTGATTTAACACATCAAAAAAACATTTTTAAATGTCTCTAAAAAGTGAGCTCTGAGCTTGACTGTATAATAAAAGGTGGAACTGAGCTCCACAGTTTAGAAGCAGAGTGACTGAATGAGTCTCTCCATGTTTCTGTATTTTACTGAAGGCGTTTGCAGAAGGTCAGTATCTACAGATCTAAGATCATAAACAGACAGACACTCTGTGATGTAAGCAGTGCTTTAAGGTCATTTAGAGTCTTAAAAACTAGGAGCAGAACTTTAAAATCTATCCTGAACGATACAGGTAGTGCAGGTCTTTTAAACAAGATGTGCCTAAACCCTCAACTTAAAGCCCAATAATCCAGAAACTAGGCCTAATACTTTTTGCCAAGCTTAGATAGATAGATAGATAGATAAATAGATAGATAGATAGATAGATA